GAAGGAACAACTGATCGAATTGGAGTTGAATCAGTTTGGTTTAAGGAGGCTAATATAATTTCTTTGTTCTTTTAGAAGGAAAGGTGGAGTCTTGTTGGACGTCCCGATGTTTTCTGAAAGAGAAATCGCCATGGCAGAGTACTATCGCTTACTCTACGACCTGTCTTCATCTTACTAGCTTTTATTTGCACCTGATGTGTCAATGCTTAATACAAATCACATTATTGTCGAGTCGCACCACATTCGATCAATTAGATTGCCTCTTTTTCTTTATCGTACCATACAATTGCCGGAAACATCGAAACGTTTTCATGAGCTTGTCTGAATTGTTACTCCTCTTAAATGAGGTTCTTTTTTCTGCCTCTGTCTTTTCCTTCAATAGCTAACTTTTGTCCAAGATTATAGATCACACTCTTTTCTGGGTTCAACATTAGTTCATCCTTCAAAAACTTAGTCTTTGTTGCAATCTATTTTTCTCAATCCGTTCGATTATGAATTCTTCCAAGGAAACTTTAGTTTTGAACTAAATAGATCGTCTAATTAGCCAACGATAAGTGAACACATATCTAGGCACACAGCAACCTTGGTATGACTTAAATTAGGCTGACATTTACCTAATCTATTCCATGAAAACAGATGGAGAAACCCGATCAAGATACAGCATATCTGGACCCTTTTAATTACAGTAGGAAGATGAAACAATACAAAATCATGGAAATGTTAGAAAAGCTGAAACCTAGACATAACCACAACTTAATTTGACCTGACAGGACACGAGTAGGATGTGCATACGAGTTGTTCTGCATCAACTTGCTTCACGACCATGCAAGACCACCTGCGATGGATCTTTGCAAGATACGATGGTTGTTGGAATTAAACTTGTTCAAGTGTCATAAAGAGATTAATTTCATCAAGAGAGAGATTCATTGCATCAAGAAAAAAAAATAGATTAAATGTGACAAGTCAAATTGGTTATTAGTTCTTGAAAGAGTTTCTTGAAAGAGAATGATTCATTTTGAATACAATTAATGTAATGTATCTTTGGAGACCATATAAACATTATATATTATGTCATGAAAGATAGAAAGTTTCTGAAATTGTAAACATTTTTTTTTTAGAGAGAAATATAGAATATTTAAGCTTGTCTTACTCTTCATCTGTTTGATTTCTCTATCCTTTATTCCTATCAAATTCAACAATAGTGAAGTTGGAAGCTGTCGCCATGAACAAGTTTGACCGATGATGTAGCTTTGATATGTATGTTGAGGTGGATGCTTGTGAGCGTGGATCTTCATCAGAATCAACTAAAGCTTTGCCTTGGGATGAAAGAAGAAAATACAATCAAAACTTTTCTACAGGATGAAAGAATAAGGTATGACACTGACGTGGAAGCTGCACCCCGATGACGTGGATGCTTGCTGGTGTGGATCTTCACCAGACTTAACTAAAGCTTTACAATGAGATGAAAGAAGAAAATATAAGTCAACGCTTTTCTGTAGGATGGAAGAACAAGGAATAATTATAGTGGAGTGATCAAACATCTGCACGATTAATGATGTTTCCGCTATCTTCTCCTATGAACACCAACATCATTACTTTTTTTCATTTTTGATGTTTTTCCCTGAGGAGAATATAGGTTCATGTGTGCTTTGTTCTACAGTGTATTTACAAAGTTCAGCAATTCATAGTTTGCTCGTATATGCTGAAATACCAGTTCTCCATGCATATGCTTGATGTTCGTCTCATCTCGCTCATAATCTACCGATGTCCGGTTGCCGTCATGTTGATTTGTGATTGTATTTGAATTAACTTCCTCTACAAAGTGTTTCTTCAGTTCAGATGCTGAAATCATAAGTTGTTCTCAAGCACAAGCATCATCATTTAGCTTCTAAGACCTGTTGCTTCTTGTTCTTGCAGCTTGCAACCACTTCAGGAGACAACAAAAGTAGCCGCTTGTGTGGGTAATAGCCATGTTCGATATTTTATTATCAGGAAATAGTCGTGAACTACCTACCCTAATCATGATTCCATTTCTTTTCTTGTTCTGAGAAGTATGCTACAGCAACGGAGACTGTCCAGTCTGAAAGGGAGACGTTCCAAACCTTATTTTGACTCTTGTGTACTCGTGACAGTGATGACAAAACTAGCAGCCTCTATGTCTCCGTAGATATCGTTTGCTGTATCGGTTTAACTGGGTGGAGCACAAAAGAAAGTCTTCGAATGAGCTGCTACTTTCGTTCAGTCAACAACTGCGGCTGTTTTCAGTGTAGTCTTGTGTTCTCCAACTATGTCATGAAGTAAAGCGTGCATCTTCTCCATGAGGTTGTGGTTGTACTCGGCATTCATGAGATTGTAGCACATCGGGTGGCGCGGGGCATTGCCTTTGTGATCGAATTGACTTTATTCTTGCATGGGGAAAGTAATTGCCCTCTCAACCCTTCGCGGTGGGAGAGAACATCAAAGATGGTGATGATGATACTATAGACCCAAAGTCTCATCAGATTTAGCCAAACACACGTAGTGATCCAATGCGATGAGCATTCGAGTCTAATTTTGGTTGGGCTGTGGACAATTGGATACCGGATGTGTCCCAATCCTTAATCAAACGCAGAATACATCTCGATCGATCCAACCCGACCCATTAATTTGGTGTCATCCGATATCCATGTTCGATCCGATGTCTCGCACGGCAGAATTTTAGTCACTGCACGCATGTACTTGATCGCCTCTCTCTCTCTCTCTCTCTCACAAGAAACGGGAGGACATTTGACGAGACCAGCAGCGTCACATCTGTCAGGCAATGGTGAGGGGGGACATGCATCGGCCTCGTAAACAAATCTAACGCGCCATGAGACCACGAGCGTCACATCGGTCACGCAATGGCGAGACAGACATGCATCGTCTCTCGGAAGTAAACCCAGGGTGTTGGCTACTGGTGTTGGCATGGCGGAAACACCTTCCCAAGCCTCAGTTCCTACAAGCTAAATCTAATGGGGGCATGCATGTCGTGGAGGAGTCAGCACTGGTCGACTGCTCCCCCAACCTTCCATGAAACGTGGAGTCTCATCCATCGCCCTAACCAAAGCAAGAACTGAGCTAAATAAGGTTGATCAAAGCCAACAAGGTTTGAAAGGGATAAGCTGTAGGAGTCTTCTGGTTCTCCATTAGGGCGAGCTAATCAATTGGTTTGATAGCTCAAATAGGAGAGCAACTCTCACACCCCTGTTGTTTCATTCTCTAACTGGCTTACTCGATTAAGAATAAGGACGCCTCTCTCTTCTTCTTTTTCTTCTCGAAAGCCAAGAACAAGAACCTAGGATTCAGATGGAACGTACGGTCCGCTGCCGACATGACAGATGGAGTCGATGCACGAGGAGGGAAGATGTGTCTGCATAAATCCCCTTTTTGAATGATCTAACGGGGATAGTTGTTGAGAGACACCCACCGGAAACCCTTAGCATGGCTTTCGGGGCACATGCCATGATAAATGTTTGGCTTTGGAGAAGGCTGCAGCTCGAATCACTTTACAAGGGGATTGCACCAAACTTTCCCTCGATTGGAACTCAGGCTTCCCTATTTGAGGGGGAAAAGGAAAAGGACAGGGAAGCACAATAACATGGAACTCTTATCATTACACAACTCAATCATTCAGCATCTTCAACTCCACCCTATTATTCTAACCAAACCCAACGTGTTAATCATTCTGCTTGTGTGATATGTGCTGGCAAGGATTTTTAAAGGGGAATTAGGAAAAGGTGTTGTTTGGTTGGTGTTGATGAAGTTTATGGTTCCTTCGTGGTGAAGCACTAAGATCAATCCAGCCATGGTGGTGAAGATGGCCACCTTTAGTGCAACCAAAGTGAATGGTTTTAAGGTACAAGGCAACCTTCACATCATGTCGTAGCTCGGATTACTTACTGGAGCTGTGGGTTCCCCACCCACCAAGATTAGTTTGTGCCACAACTTACTGAAGTAGTCAGAGCTACGATGGCGATGCAGATCCCGAGCTTTCACAGGAGCACTTTCCCGATGACAGAAAACATCGATGATGTCCGACCAGGAGTTCTTCCAGGCATCATCACTACTACAGTAATGACCTCTGTGGGTTTTGCCTGGCCTTCTGATACTCCTCGCGTATGCACAATCACAAGGTACCAATCAATGAAGAGTTGCTTGAGTCGGAATTGTGTCCGAGTTTGATCGACCGAAACCATTCACTGCTCTCTTGGAGAAAGCAAGACAAGTACGAGCTTCAGTTACTCGAGAACAATCAGTGAACTGACAGTCAAAATGCAGAACCACAAGCAATCGATCGAGTAGGTGCTGGTTCACTTTTGATGCTAAAGAGAAGTTATAGTGGCCCTCCGGTGGCCGAGGAAGGAGACAGAGGCAATTAAAGATCCCAAAACTGAAGCCAGCCTCCCTCCGCAGTCCCCGCGGCGTCGGTTTCTGCCATGACAAAAGGTCAAACACCAGCCGAGCTCGGACAAAGCCTTCACCAACATCCTATATTAATGCGCAGTTTGCATGTCTTTTTTCCTTTTGCCTCAGGCTTCTTCTCCTCTGTTGTGCTGCATGCTACGTCAGCCCTAATGAATCAAGGGGGGGTGCCACCCTTTGACCACTCCTTGGGGCGTGGAAAGTGCTTCCCCTGATGTAACAAATGCCAAACCCTAGTTTCCATTCCCCCACCCCACCGCGTCTTGCTTCTGTAGCTTGTTTGCGTTGCAGGAGATGCTTAGTACATGGCTTGCAACCATTCCCACCTACTCTGGATATAATTCGATTTACCATGATCTTTGTTTACCCTGTTTCTTATACCACTGAAGCAAAGCTACAAACGAGTCATTATCCGAACGATATCCATGATCTTTTATCATATTATAAATCATAAAAAAGAGATTTGATAGATCTTAGCTTAAACAAGTGTGACCTCAACTGGTTGCACCTATAAATAACTCGACATAAGTATGTACACAAGCAAGCCGTTCATTGTTGGTTGTCCAGGTACATGTAACCTCTTCTCTCATCTTCTTCCTCCTTGCTGCAACCAGAAGCCACATCAGCCATGGATGATCACAACCAGTGCCACAACAACAGCCCCAACCTTCGGAGATCTGTTCCTGACGGCACTGTCACCGAGCCTGTGCGCACCCGATGGACTCCGAAGCCCGAGCAAATCCTTATACTGGAGTCTATCTTCAACAGTGGCATGGTAAACCCTCCAAAAGGCGAGACCGTGAGGATCCGCAAGCTCCTCGAGCAGTTCGGCTCCGTGGGTGACGCCAATGTCTTCTACTGGTTCCAGAACAGGCGGTCGAGGTCCCGCCGCCGCCAGCGCCAGTTGCAGGCGAGCCTTATGGCCGGGCAACAAGTCAGCAGTGGAGTTCCACGTGCTTCGACGCCGCCCACCTCGTCGAACACGTCATCTAGTAACTCTGCCGGAGGAGAAGCAGGATTGTTTTCATGCTCTTCTTTTGCTTCTCCTTCCTCCTCTAACTTTATGATCGATGATAGTGCCGATGATCTCTTCTCGATCTGTCGTCAGATGGGATTCATGGAGAGCACTCAGGATATCTCGCAGCTACACTACCAACCCGGTTAGTGCATGGCTAAGCGGTCTCTCGCATATATTAACGTGGTTGTGCTTTCCGCGGCTGAAACAAACCTCCTCTGGAAGTTTTCAGGCCTTCTACTCTTTTTGCCGAGACGTCTAAGTTGGATTGATCGACTGTGATCAACGTTTAGTTTCTTCAGTTTATTTCACCCCTGGAGCTGAACATTAAACATCCATCTAAGCTTTGAACCTTTGGAGCAATACGAGAGATTCTTGTTCTACCGGAAATGTTTTGGACAGATTAAAGTTTTGTCTAGTAATATTAATGCACTAACCATAGATCAAGTAATTGTAGTCTTTGAGTAATCAGCACCATTTTAGCTTAAAATGAATGTTGTCTCTCATAAATGTGAATATAGGATATATTGAGTTGTAATTTTGACAATATTTCAACTCATTTGGACCATGAAATGCGTAACTGCAGGAACAGTGATCGTATTCATCAATGGCGTCCTTAACGAGGTTCCGAGTGGGCCTATAGATCTCAGAGCCATGTTTGGTCACAATGTGATGCTTGTTCATTCTTCTGGAGAGGTGCTACCTGTCAATGAGCATGGAATTCTCATGCAGAGCCTGCAGATGGGTGAAAGTTATTTCTTAGTGAGTAATTCTAGTCTCTCTCTCTCTCTCTCTCTCTCTCTCTCTCTCTCTCTCTTCCTCTCTGATCTCTTCATACGTAAGAAATCTATAGATATCATGAAAACCTAGAGGCCAATGAAGTTTTACGTAATATTTGTTTCTTGACAGGTTACGAGGCCTACTTAGTGTGAGTTCAGTTGTAGTTCGGAGAAGAAGAATGGGTTCAGAAAATTGAATGAGAATACATGATGAGGTCCAGAGTTTGAAGCTTAAGGAGAAGCAGACTGTGTGCTGAGAGTTCATCATTCTGAACTATCATCATCATTTTATGCAAACACCTTTGTGACAGAAACTGACTGTTGCTTTGCACTTGTTTCGATCATGGTTTTCAGGGGGAATAAATGAGGAATTCATTGCCCTTTTGGCAGAATATAGAGTGTCTATTGAAGTTGTTTAATGTTCTTCCTCATTCATTTTTGCAGATGAGAATGTTGTCCTATATATATATATATCACACCACATGAACTTGTGTGTTAATTCTGGATCACCTAACATGCACAGACACATCTTTCCATGCACAATATTGTCATCATAGAAACATGAGGAGACAGAAGCAAACTCAAGAATTACCTCATGGAATCATAGGGCAGATGAACACATCTGATACGGGCAATAATGGCCTTGTGACCCGACTAACGTCAGCCACCCAGATGATGCCTCACGGTACCTGGTCAACACGAACTCAAAATGCCGGTCGAGACATATTAACGTCATACTCATACTCGATCCCTTACACCACACCTACACCAGTGTCAGACGCTACCAAGAATACGAGCATGTCCCCTGCATGCGGGCGCATCAGAAAATAGTAAGCTTTCCTATAAATACCCTCGTGTTCTAAACGGAGGGGAGGAAAAAACCCCCGACGACTATACACTAACTTGATCATTGGAGGGGTTGGGTGGAGCTACCGACCCAACCTGTATGCAGGTGGGAAGGCGAAACGCTTCCCCATAACGCCCAGGAGCGGAGTCCCGAAAGCAGACGCAACCCCGACGTGACCGCGCTAAGTCGAGCCGGCTACCTCAAGCGGTCTCCGGAGACTCCAGGGAGATCCCCGCCCATTTCGACCCGAACCAAGCTGAGTTGGCCCCGACGACCCGGCTTAAAGTTGTTAACACTAACAATATCCCTTAAACATTTTAATAGAAACTTTTAGTTCCATGTAATTTCCTTCAGTAAACAAACACAGAAGCTTAAAGCTTGTTGCAAGCTAGCAAATCTACATGCTTCATTTCTTCCCCTTATTCTGTACACAGAAAGCATTGTTTCTCGAGTACCTTCTCATGGGAGTTTCATGTCAGCTTGTCACCACTTTCAGCATTTGCATATTAGATGCTTGCGTCTTGAGTTTGATGTGCAGCATGCCAATGTATGCTTATGTTGTTCTTTGAGTCCTTTGACGCTCGCATATATACATGCAGAGGAGAGTGGAGAGTGATTTAGTTGAAATTTACAGGATAAATGCTTCCTTCTTTCATTTTGTATTCACTTTTGCTATTCATATGCAGCTTTTCTTTATTGAAGATTTCATTTTTAGTGAGTTGGAGAAAGAAATTAAGGATCCTACTTCATTATATCAATCACGATACACACATCATTTTGATACACACTGGAAGACTGAAATGCTTCATTCATGCCTTGAATAAGAATGTAATGAGTTGAGTACAATACAAACTTGTTCCATAGTTAACCAAAGAAAAAAGAGGACGTAGAAACTTGGGTTGGAGTCCAAAAGTCCATCTCATTTCCGCATCCTCCTTGGTGCCAAAAATGTGCTATTTCTTTCTGTAATCCTGTGTTAGAACATGACAGAATAGAAAGAACCTCAATTGATCTTTAATGAAACATTTACAGATCAACTCTTCAGACATTGCAAGTACATACACACTTTAATCTTTATTTTAGATCTCCAATGAAGCCGTGGCACCTTAGCAGGAGGAGCACTCGGAGTAGTATGCTTGATGACTACTCAAGTGATCCACGAGCAAAAGATGATGGATCCAGTATTCTAAGCATCTCCTTGTTCTACACTTGTTCTTTGGCTCCTGCTTCGTTAGTGGTTTCCACCGGAGGCGACGACCTGTTCTCCATTAAATGTGCCTGTCACGAGGGCCAAGGTGATTGACGCAAAACCCTTCCTCGAAAGAAGCATCCGCCCCAGGTTCTTTGCAAACCGTGGGATGGTAAGATCCTGAGTTAAAGCTGATCTGAGCTGACAGAAACGATAGAATGCCGTGTGTATCTTGGCGTTGAATCGGACATTGACAACCTCTCAACTCAGGAGGTCTTGTCGGACGAGACTTGCCCTACTGTGGAAGAAGACTAAAGCCATGGGTCTTCTTCGGTTATTGCACTACTGCTGTATTCACCTACAAAACCAGCATATAGTTTAAGCAAGAGATTTGAAAGCCATATATATATATATATATATATATATATATAATTTAATAATGCCATGGAGCGGGAGGGAAGGGGTGATGGATGCGTGGAGCGGTGCCATTCGATCTGTCGGGGCGGCGACAAAGAATGCAGAGGAGGGGGGGGGGGGGGTTGTTTTGTCGGAACTCTCAGGGGGGGGAAGGGAAGGGGTGACGGACGCGTGGAGCGGTGCATTGCAGGCGGCGACAAGCGATACAAGAGGGTGATGTTCTCTCTCTCTCTCTCTCGTCCGCAAGCTCCTCGAGCAGTTCGGCTCCGTGGGTGACGCCAATGTCTTCTACTGGTTCCAGAACAGGCGGTCGAGGTCCCGCCGCCGCCAGCGCCAGTTGCAGGCGAGCCTTATGGCCGGGCAGCAAGTCAGCAGTGGAGTTCCACGTGCTTCGACGCCGCCCACCTCGTCGAGCACGTCATCTAGTAACTCTGCCGGAGGAGAAGCAGGATTGTTTTCATGCTCTTCTTTTGCTTCTTCTTCCTCCTCTAACTTTATGATCGATGATAGTGCCGATGATCTCTTCTCGATCTGTCGTCAGATGGGATTCATGGAGAGCACTCAGGATGTTAGTGCATGGCTAAGTGGTCTCTCGCATATATTAACGTGGTGGTGCTTTCCGCAGCTGAAACAAACCTCCACTGGGAGTTTTCAGGCCTTCTACTCTTTTTGCCGAGACGTCTAAGTGGATTGATCGACTGAGATCAACGTTTAGTTTCTTCAGTTTATTTCACCCCTAGATCTGAACATTAAACTTCCATCATTTGAACCTTTCGAGCAATACGAGATTCTTGTTCTACCGGAAATGTTTTGGATAGATTAAAGTTTTGTCTAGTAATATTAATGCACTAACCATAGATCAAGTAATTGTAGTCTTCGAGTAATCAGCATCATTTTAGCTTAAAATGAATGTTGTCTCTCATAAATGTGAATATAGGATATATTGAGTTGTAATTTTGACAATATTTCAACTCATTTGGACCATGAAATGCATAACTGCAGGAACAGTGATCGTATTCATCAATGGCGTCCTTAACGAGGTTCCGAGTGGGCCTATAGATCTCAGAGCCATGTTTGGTCACAATGTGATGCTTGTTCATTCTTCTGGAGAGGTGCTACCTGTCAATGAGCATGGAATTCTCATGTAGAGCCTGCAGATGGGTGAAAGTTATTTCTTAGTGAGTAATTCTAGTCTCTCTCTCTCTCTCTTCCTCTCTGTTCTCTTCATACGTAAGAAATCTATAGATATCATGAAAACCTAGAGGCCAATGGAGTTTTACGTAATATTTGTTTCTTGACAGGTTACGAGGCCTACTTAGTGTGAGTTCAGTTGTAGTTCGGAGAAGAAGAATGGGTTCAGAAAATTGATTGAGAATACATGATGAGGTCCCGAGTTTGAAGCTTAAGGAGAAGCAGACTGTGTACTGAGAGTTCATCATTCTGAACTATCATCATCATTTTATGCAAACACCTTTGTGATAGAAACTGACTGTTGCTTTGCACTTGTTTCGATCATGGTTTTCAGGGGGAATAAATGAGGAATTCATTGCCTTTTTGGCAGAATATAGAGTGTCTATTGAAGTTGTTTAATGTTCTTCCTCATTCATTTTTGCAGATGAGAATGTTGCAACTCCTATATATATAACACCACATGAACTTGTGTGTTAATTCTGGATCACCTAACATGCACAGACACATCTTTCCATGCACAATATTGTCATCATAGAAACATGAGGGAGACAGAAGCAAACTCAAGAATTACCTCATGGAATCATACAGCAGATGAACACATCCCTTGAACACTTTAATAGAAACTTTTAGTTCCATATAATTTCCTTCAGTAAACAAACCCAGAAGCTTAAAGCTTGTTGCAAGCTAGCAAATCTACATGCTTCATTTCTTCCCCTTATTCTGTACACAGAAAGCATGGTTTCTCGAGTACCTTCTCATGGGAGTTTCATGTCAGCTTGTCACCACTTTCAGCATTTGCATATTAGATGCTTGCGTCTTGAGTTTGATGTGCATGCCAATGTATGCTTATGTTGTTCTCGTGTCCTTTAGTTGAAATTTAGTTGAAATTTACAGGATAAATGCTTCCTTCTTTCATTTTGTATTCAATTTTGCCATTCATATGCAGCTTTTCTTTATTGAAGATTTCATTTTTAGTGAGTTGGAGAAAGAAATTAAGGATACTACTTCATTATATCAATCACGATACACACATCATTTTGATACACACTGGGAGACTGAAATGCTTCATTCATGCCTTGAATAAGAATGTAATGAGTTGAGTACAATACAAACTTGTTCCATAGTTAACCAAAGAAAAAAGAGGAGGTAGAAACTTGGGTTGGAGTCCAAAAGTCCATCTCATTTCCACATCCTCCTTGGTGCCAAAAATGTGCTGTATCTTTCTGTAATCCTGTGTTAGAATATGACAGAATAGAAAGAACCTCAATTGATCCTTAAAGAAACATTTACAGATCAACTCGTCAGGGCAGGAGGAGCAGGAGCTGTGTGGTTGATGAATACTCAAGTGATCCACGAGCAAAAGATGATGGATCCAGTATTCTAAGCACCTCCTTGTTCTACACTTGTTCTTTGGCTCCTGCTTCGTTAGTGGTTTCCACCGGAGGCGACGACCTGTTCTCCATTAAATGTGCCTGTCACGAGGGCCAAGGTGATTGACGCAAAACCCTTCCTCGAAACAAGCATCCGCCCCAGGTTCTTTGCAAACCGTGGGATGGTAAGATCCTGAGTTTAAGCTGATCTGAGCTGACAGAAACGATAGAATGCCGTGTGTATCTTGGCGTTGAATCGGACATTGACAACCTCTCAACACAGGAGGTCTTGTCGGACGAGACTTGCCCTACTGTGGAAGAAGACTAAAGCCATGGGTCTTCTTCGGTTATTGCACTACCGCTGTATGCACCGACACCACCAACATATAGTTTAAGCAAGAGATTTGAAAGCCATATATGTATATAATATTTAATAATCATCTTTTCTCATCAGCTTTTTTCTAGCACTATATATATATATATATATATATATATATATATATTATAATTAAGTTTCTTCAGCGAATAAGAAAATGGTACAAATTATTTCTTGAATAAAATAAAATAACTTTTATCTTTTAAATTTAAAATATTATATTTTATTTATTTATTTACACCACCAACCTTAGGTCTCTCTGTCCACCTTGGACGACGCTTTTGCCATCTTGCCGTAGCCGCTGGCCTACCTGCGTGATGATTGAGGTAACTATCTGGGGTCCGGAGTGGGGCCACTGCTTCTCCCAATCAAAGATAGGTACGACGAGTGTGAGAAACAAATGCGTACGGTGGAGAAGTTTCGCCACACGTTCGACTACCTGCGCCGTGATGGGACGCGATGTGATGCCGCTGCTTTGCCGAATCGAGAGACAGGTATACTCGAGAGGCATAAACAAATGTGTATAGGTGACGTATCTTTGTCCTCTCCCGGCCGATGGGACCTCTCTACCAATCAGGGCGAACCACCAACGCTCTTATTTTCCTCCGCAGGAGAAGCATAACGCCGCCCCGCCTTTAAATTGCCAACGGAAGTTAACTCTTCATTTCGCTGCTACGCCGTCGGCTTCATTGGTGCTCGTCGACTCCTCAGACCCATCTTGCCGATCCGGTCTCTGATTCTTCTCCGGGAGGGTAGGACCTGTCGGAGCTTTATCGGGAATGGCGGAGGCGTCGAGGAGAAGACCGAAGACTAAGATCGTGTGCACTTTGGGCCCGGCTTCGAGGTCCGTGGAGATGATCGAGAGGTTTCTGATGGCGGGGATGAATGTGGCCAGGTTCAACTTCTCCCACGGTTCCCACGCTTACCATCAGGAAACCCTAGAAAACCTCCGCGCCGCGATGGACAAGACCGGAATCCTCTACGCTGTCATGCTCGACACGAAGGTCTCTTGTCCTCGACCCTTTTTCTTCCGGCGCACTTCCTCGGACTGGTTTCTTTCCTATATCCATCTTCTCGTTTAAGAAATTTTGGATTCTTAAGATGGGTTTACGATGTTAAGATCTCACCTTCCGGTGATCTTTTACGGTGTCAGATGTCGTGGTTTTCAATCGGAAATTTGGCCTTTTAATTTATTTTTGGTTTTTGATGTTGATTTCGTCAGGTATATGTTTATTCGGTTTATCCACACTACCTTGCCATTTGCTATTGCAGAAATCTCAATAATCAATTCTATTATTTGATGAAGTTTAGGCATTGTGAGACCGTGTGAATTAATTTTGCTGGAATGCTGATATGCTTAGATCACAATGTGTGGTGATCTTTCCAGGCAATTATTTATTTTGAGGCCATGTCTGTATATCTATGATCTTTAAATTTTGAACGCCTAGAGGATGCTTAGTTGTTCCGTGTGTGATTTGACATCCCCTAACATTTGAAGAATCAAAGAGAAAACTCAGGTGTGATTTGGGATGCAAGAGGAGTACATGATGTGAAATAGATAAGAAATTGACAGCAACAGAAGTTACAATCCTACCCTACAGACAGCTACGTCAGGTAACATCAAACCTCCTCTATAAATACCCCTGAGTCCTAAGCAAAGGGGAGGATCACACACTCAACCTTTGTGCAGGTAAGAAGCCTTCGGAGATCATCGCCTTCGGAGATCCAGCGGGCTCGAGCAGCGCCCCCACGGAGATCACCGCCTTCCGGACCCGAACCAAGTCGCGACGGCCCCGAGGCCACGGCTAAAAAAGTTACTTATCGTAACAGAATGGTGCTAGAAAGACGGTACATTAGCTTTCTCCTTGGTTGCTCCGCAGCAGCTGACCTGCACCAGCAGCAGCGACTTCTGGGGCTGGTCTCGCCCGCGTCGACCCCACGCGCGCGGCCAGCCCGAGCGTTTCGGCCCCACGCGCGCGGCCAGCCCGAGCGTTTCGGCCCCACGCGCGCGGCCAGCCCGAGCGTTTCGGCCCCACGTACACGGCCAGATCGCGCGTCTCGACCCCTCGGCCACGCGCGCGGCCAGCGCGCCTGATCGTGCTACTCGGTCGCATGACCCTCGCGACCACGCCTGCGCGGTCACCCCGCCTGCGTCGTGCTCCTTGGCTCCATGTTCCTGAGACAGACCAGTGCCGCTAGTACTCCCGCGTCGTGCCCCTCGGCTCCATAAACCCCGAGACACGTCTGCACGGCCAGCCTGCCCGCGTCGAACTCCACAGCCCTATCCACCTGGTCCACGCCCCTCGGTCGCGGCTTGCCTGCGCCGAACGCCTCGGCTCCATGCTTGCCGAGCCCACCACCTCGGTCGCAGCCTGCCTGCACCGAGCACCTCGGCAACTCTCTGTCGAAATCCCACCTCAGCGTGGCCTGCCCGCCTGAGCGGTGTCCCTCGGTCGCAGCCTACCTGCACCGAGCACCTCGGCTAATCTCTGCCGAGACCCACCTCGGCACGACCCGATCGCCTGTCGTGTTCCTCGGTCGCGTGGTGCCCGAGGCCACGTCCTCGCGTCCTGCCCGCCTGATCGTGCTACTCGGTCGCATGACCCTCGCGACCACGCCTGCGCGGTCAGCCCGCCTGCGTCGTGCTCCTTGGCTACATGTTCCCGAGACAGACCAGTGCCGCCAGTACGCCCGCGTCGTGCCCCTCGGCTCCATAAACCCCGAGACACGTCTGCGCGGCCAGCCTGCCCGCGCCGAACTCCATGGCTCTATCCACCTGGTTCACGCCCCTCGGCCGCGGCTTGCCTGCGCCGAACCCCTCAGCTCCATGCTTGCCAAGCCCACCACCTTGGTCGTAGCCTGCATGCACCGAGCACCTCGGCAACTCTCTGTCGAAATCCCACCTCAGCGCGGCCTGCCCGCCTGAGCGGTGTACCTCGGTCGT